ACCGGGATTTTCTGAGGTATACAATCTCTGATCACGCCCCTTTGGCGTAAAAGCTAGGAATCAACCTGACCGAAACAAACCTAAAACTTACCCGATATCAACCTGAAATTGGAACGATATCGACCTCAAATTGACCAATCATTCATCCAACATTGGGTCGACATATGTGTTCGGAACCATTTTTCTGAGTTTCTTCCATACTCCACTGTCGTATATCAATTGATAGTAAGTGACTCGAATGACAATGATGATGAGATTCATTTGAGAAAGTGGCTTTTCAAACGATTGAAATGAGAGAATTCGTTGCGCAGAATTGATTCAATACGGTTCAGTACAATTTAATGATTTGAAAATTAACAACACTGATCGTCATAGCCCAGGTTGATCTAGTTGATCACATAATTTTAACTCTAGGGTGGTATGGAGAACCTAAGTTGTCTAATTAAGTGTGTAGGTATCAATCAATTGTATTGTATACAGTAAATAACAAATATTACCCGGTGGTCCAAAAGGATTGACATTAATCTCTGGGGAAAAACTTTATTCACTTTTCGAGAAATGGGTTCACTTTTATTAATAAAACATTGTTTGCTCGATTTTAGCGTATGTAATTTTTTGCATACACGGTAAAAAATACACAACTTTTAAGTTCCCTGTTTTACTTTGGCGTGAAAACATAAATTTGGTAAATATGTCAGTGTATTAGCTGATTTAATTTTTCAGCGTGCAAATAGGTTAATATGTTTTTACTCATCATCTTCTACAAATTAATGGTAAAAATTACTTAATATTTTTTTCCTTGATTTGTTTTTCGTCGATCTTGTTTTCCGTGCTGAGCACCAATGCTACCGACGCCAGGGAGGCAGCTTCCACACCTGGACCGTACCTATTGATCCATCAACTCATGAACCGGGGACCAACGGCTTTACTTCCCTACGTGATCAGAGATGTTATGCCTCAGAATATCCCGGCGGCGCCGACTGGGTTTGAACCCAGGCCTGCTGGGGTGAGAGGCAATCACGATGTGATTTGAATATGACTTAATCGCTTTAATCCACTTTTTTATGAAACCAAAATACTGATATTCGGTCACAAGACTAAACAAAATAGTACAAATACAATAATTTACATAAAACATATTACTAATGAATTGACTCCAGGATCCTCAGTACTTGTTTTAAAGATGCTGCTGTAAAAAACATTTAGAATATACTTAAAAAAAAAAACTATCAATGTTACCCCGTTTTACGTTACGCCATTTTAGTCAAAATTTTAACACTACACTATGTTTGTTTTGATTCCCTATGAAAGTTTGACAGATAAAATGAGGGGTTCGAGGATTTTCTTAAGTTTCGATTAGCTTGGGACCAAAGAGAGTACCAGAACTGAGCCAAAAGGTTGAGCACGTTTCTGAGAGTTATCTCTATGGTTGTTCTGAATAGTTTTGGCCAGACGTTTCCTGTCACTACGGGAAAATGGCTCAGGAACGGTATACCGCCAACAACGTGCAAGTCGTACCCAATGACAAAAACCCAACAAACTCGCCGGAGCTGTATCAAATTGAGAAAAAAATATAACGGAAACCTCAAGAAAACCCAGAAAACAGTTGGAAATGAGAACCAGTTCAAAGCAAATTGACGTTTAACATCAAATAAGGTTGATACAACAGCGGTACAAAATCTGATGGAAGGTGTTACACGTGAAGCCCGAAAGTTCGCATTTGGAAAATCGGAAGCCTAGTCAAATAGTTTTTTTTTTCTGTATTTTGTAGTCATTGAACTTCAAAAAGAAATAAAGTTTGATCATTTATACTATATATATATATATATATATATATATATATATATATATATATATATATATGGTTAATAACGGTGCCGACATCATTATTACGGTCATCGGGAGGGGAACCATTGCTTGTTTGATATTTGTAGTTACTAGGGACCAAATATACCTCTGCGATCACTGGTTCGATGTTTTTGTTTGAGGGAAGGGTAAATTAGCTCTGAAATGTGAAGCTTAGTAATATAAATGGGCCTGGGATAGAACCAATAATCTTCTACTCAGTAGGCAAGACCTGTCGTCACTAGGCCATTGAGCCCCTTATATCACAACAAACCACTGCGACCGGCGATCCAGCAAGCCCGGGGACAAGAAGCTATTTAAATGAAATTAATAAATGAAAAGTAACCCTCAAATATGATTGCCAATTTTGAAAGTCTTGTGATATATTTCCAAATTTCCTATAGTAAATATTTGCGAGACTCAAAATGATTTGTTGAGTGACGTTATAACGGATATGTTGCGTAACGTCACAACGGTTATGTTGCATGACGTTACAACGTATTGCAATTCTCAACTACAACTACTCAAAAACTACTCATCAACACGTTTTGAGCAACTCAAATCAGAAACTCTTGACGTATTCTTATTGGAAATTTAATGCACTTCCCATATATGCAATAATATCTAAGGGTTACTATTAACTTTTCAGTTAAAGTACAAACACTATAAAAAATCAGGTAAAACCAATGTAACGTCAAGTAGAATGCGTCAATAAGACATTTAATCGAATTATCAATATAAATCTTAAGGACACGGTTTAAGGAATCCTATTTTCATACAATTTGTAACAAGTTAAAAATGAATCTATATGTTTGCTGCAGAGAAGCAAGAATCGTTTTTAATTTTCATATCTATTTGACTTTTGGATGGAGAGATTAGTGCCAGTGAAAACGTGATGTGCAGGGATTACGTGAGTCTTGTCCTTAATATACTTAGAAAATAGCACAGAGCAGCATTTGCTTTCGTAGAAATAGTGGGTGACTGTATATATTTTGCAAAAGCACTTAGGATTAGTAAATTTTTCCAAACTCAACGAAATCCAAATAGCCAAGTGTAGGTTCGATTGTTATCGCGAAAAATTGTTATCTCAGTGTTGAAGTGCTTTTAGAATTCCGGTAAATCAGTGGCACCGGATTAACCTCTCATTACCCGTTCACCAGCTCTCAAAGCGTTAACAAATCACAAAATTTACCTTGCAATGGATGAAAATCAGTAAAACTTGATGATACTTTGCATTTTACAATCGGTTTGAATATACCTTTTTTAAAGTTCGTACACAGGGAAATATTGAGGTTACGCAACGCCAATGGTAACCTAAATATTTCCAAATCAAATAGGTATGATTTTGAAATTACTCCTTCACTGACTAAACTGACTGTTATTTTGGATCTTAACGGTAGCGAGCACAGCCTGTCTCCGAGACTCATACCACAAGTAACACATATTCATGATAATATGTTGAGCAAACTTCTTTATAACCAAAACATGTCATACAAAGAGTGTATAAACTTTTATAGAACTTATGCGTTGCTTGAGATATTCTCGCATATGTTTTATCGCCTTCGGTTACTCGTTCTATTGGAAAATATACGCACATTCTTTCTCTTTGTGTTTTCCGATTTCAACGACGTTTTTCAAAAAGTTTCGTCAACTTTCTTTGGAACTTTCTACAAGCTTTTTTTTTGCAAATTCCTAAATGCTTCTACCGGTATTTCAATTGGCTCTTCTTTCCCAAGCAAATTTCTCGACCAACAATTATGTAACAGATAATAGCAATTATCTGGGCCTCAAATAGTCTGGTCAATGAGAACATGCTATTAACAAGTTGGAAGTGGCGGGCTCGAAATCCTGTGTAAAATAAGTTATTCTTCGTTATCTTAAAGTTATATTGTATTACATAAATATTCATTTTTTTTTTGTAATTGTACTACTCATAATCTGATAAATGCATAACTGATTCATCATGGTTTTTAATTTACTAGTTAAACTTTTCGCCTGTCACCAACTCATTTTTTATGTTGAGCTTTCTTACCTATTTATCGGTGTGTATTGCTAATTAATGCCCAGTTGTAGCATGTTCTATCTTGAAAAATCCTTGTTTGAAATGGGAATCGAACCCAGCCGCCTCCAGTATGATCTTGCTTTATAGCTACGCCTTAACTGCCTGAGCTTATATATTTGATTTATTTCAAAAGTGTAATTTTTACACAAGAATGAAAATTTAACATGAAATTTTAACTATTCGACAGTTTAACGCTGAAAATAAATAAGCGATTCCGTTTGTTTTTATTTGTCAGCAACCATTGTGTGGAAGCTAGCAAAAAATATTAAATATTGTTTAGCGTTCTAGATAGATAGACTCATTGAACTCAGGGTTGTAACATTTCTAGACTTCTCTGGGCATAGGGTATGACTGAACTTTCCACACAATTATACTAATGCAATAATGTTACAGGCGTAGAAAGTTCTCAATTAATAATTATGCAGGGCTGGCTTAAAGCCCCTGCAGGGATGTGTAATGAAGGCAAAGAAGAAGAATAATAATAATAATAAAATGGTATCACTTATTCTGATACACCATGTACACAGTAATCAATGTTAAATGTACATACTTATGTCTTATATTTCCCACATATGAGTCACTATATTTACAAATATAGTGTATTATAGAATATTTACTTGTAAGCATGAATCGTGTTTTCAAAAAAATGATATACTTCGTGATATAATTCCTAACTTAGATGGCTTACAATGTGATGCTGCATAAAAGAGCATAAATGAACGCTATTTTTCGAACGGTATCAATCTGTTTTCAACCTAAATTTGCATGTATTGAGAAAAAATGTGTTATTGTTTTCTGATTGTATCCTATATTGCAGTTTTTGAATAATTCACATGAAGTTCGATATTTTACAAACGATGTTTTTAGTTCAGAATTATTTATCTAAATATTAATATGCATTATACATTAAATTTCGGGAAATTATCAAAACGGCCAACGCATATAGTCTAACTACGCCAATGTTCATACCTCGATCTAAACATGCGGGTAAACAGGAGTGTAATACCACAGCCATTCCGCGGAAGGTGGTCGGTTCGGTTTTCGTTGTTTTTGTGAAAGCAGTTGTTAAAGTTTAAAAATGAATGTTACATACCCAGACGACGGAGGCATCGCCGACCTTGAAGATAAGAAAGTAAGCAGGCATTAATAAAACGGGCAATGTTTCAATATTCTCGTTGAAAAAGCAAACATAATTTTTATAGACAAATTTTTATGAGTAAATTAATGGTTATATCGCTCCGGCGAACCGGCAGCCGGAGCATAAATCTCGTCTTGTTTCGAGCAGTAACAGCAATCATCAAAGCAACCCATGAAGAAAGGATAGAACAAAATGCTCATGACTTCCTTCGAGGTAAACGAAACCGAGTTGTTGGATCTGCGCCTGCCCAGAGCTTGTGTGTTGCGAGACTGCACACAGAACGATCGTGGTCGATGGAAATCGGTTCTTTCACCAGACCGCCCGTACACCCCCACTAGGCCCCTTTTCTGGGACGGACACAGAGGGAGGGCTGGGTGCTGATGAACGGATGAGCATTCCCAAGAAATGCCTCACCTCATCCAAGCGCCCTGGTCTGATTGGGGGTGCTGAAGCTTCTACCTCCATGGCGATGCCGCCGCGCCGTTGTGAAAGGGATATACATATGTAGCAGGTATTGGGAGAAATAGGTAGAGAACTAACCAAGAGCAGTCAGCATCTTTCACGACCGCGTCGGTCGCCACCAATGAAGACGACTGCGATTGTGAGACGGCGGCGACGGACAAGACAACGTCAGGCACTTTCGGGCATGCTGCTGGGAAGACGCCACGGTTTGATATCAAAAATAAATCAATAAGTGGCGCCATTATTATTGATACTTTGCTGCTTGCCCATCCCATCCAATGTTGGCTTCGGTGGAGGGCTGGGACCAGTGCAATAATGTGGCGAAATGTTTGATGGTGTCTCCTAACTTCTGGGAATTTAAAGGACTTTTTTTAAAATTAGTTGTATACATATATATTGTTAACATGAATTGGGTTTGATAGATTGAACGTTATGAAAAACTAGAATAGGCAATTTTACTGGTTAGATAATTAGTCATTAAATTCTACGGGTTGAATATTTTGCCACATGTTTTACAGCACTGCACGAACGTTTAGTTGGTTAGTCAGTTAGTGCTTCAGCGAAATTAAAAAAAAGCCCTCACCAGGAATATCACAACTCTTCTGTAAATCTTCCTTGGATAGTGACTGCTATGCAAAGGATATCACTACCATTTAATCGCCATGCTGCTCAAGCAATGAATCCAACGCATTTAACCCATTTCCCTTAATGTCTGCAAATAAATAGGAAACCTTTTTAGAAATGCAGTCAACTCTCCTTAACTCGATATTGGAATCCCATAAAAAATCAGTATCACAGTTGCCATGACATTATTTTCTACTATGGTTCTTTAACTTGATATCGAATTAGTTGGCATCGAGTTGTGGAGAGTGAACCGTAATATTATTTGGCGATGTAGGTACTGAGCAGCAACTAATTAATTTAAATTATTAGAGGTAATAACGGAAATCAAATCTAGATAGAGGGTGCTAAGTCATTAGACCAAATGTCATTAGGAACGATATTAGGCTTAAATTATAATAGCTATTTACTTATGAAAGTTCGGAATTCATTCTTATCCAGTTGATGAAAAGGATATGCACCAAATAAAACAGGCAAAATCTATGGCTCATGATTAAAAAAAGGAAAAATGTGCACTAGCCACTAGTAGCTAGTAGCTAATCGGGATGCCAAAGGGGCCAGACCCCATTTCAGATTTATCTGAGCCTCAGATTCTGGGAATTTCATAGAGTGTCAGATAAATTCGTAGAAACTCAAGAAACTTTGGAAAAGTTAGGAAAACTACGTAGAAGTGGGAACGTTATTTAAGTTTAAGGGTCTTCGTAGAAGTTAAAGGAACATGATTTAATTTCAGCGAACCTCATTCGGTTCGGGGATCTCCATACAGTTTCAGGGCACTTTTTTGAAGCCTAATGGACTTGGAATAGTTCAGGGAGTTTCGTACAAGTTCGAGAAATTTCGTACAAAGAACTTCGCGGAAAATCAACGTAGAAGTGCAGCAATCATTGAAGAAGTTTTGAATATTTCTTAACATTTTGAGGACCTGCGTAAATCTTCTTATAAGTGTAAGGAATTTTGAAAAAGTTCAGGGAAATTTATGTAAGATCTAAAAATAGTTCAGCAAACTTCGTAGCAGTTTGTCAGGGATTTTATTTTAAAAAAGCTCAGTGGACTATTTGGAAGTCTTGGAAATTTCAATAACTTTCATGTAACTTTCCAGTTGCTCAAAAATATTTATAGATGATGGGAGTCTTTCCAGATGTTCAAAGATGGCAATTTGGAATATATTTAGGAAACTTCGATGAAGTTTAGGAAATTTTGTAAAACCTAATGCAGTTTTTCTTTTGATATTCAGACTTTTTTTTTCAGACAGCCTCCCTAAATAGCAGGAAATATTCAAAAGATCTCCAGATCTCCAAAGAGGTTAGTAAAGTTCTCTGGATATTTTTTCAAGACTTCAGCTTGATCAAGTTCTGAAGATCACCAAAAGTTAGAAAATACAAATTACGTCTTCCAAGACTGTAGGTTGATCAGAATGTATTCAGATGTTCTTCAGCTAATCGACGATTTCAGTAAAGTGTAGATACTTTTTGTTCAGGACATTATAAACATTATTCATAATCAACATCTAAAAATAGATTAAAATTTGAAGTCAAGATCTACATTTTCATAGCAAAAAATCTACACTTGTCTGTTTGAAATTCAAAGAGTCTTCTGAAGTCTTTTTAAATTCCAACAAAAATCGTCACAGAACATGAAATGTCTTTAAAATGCCTGTGTGAAAAAACAATCTTTACCGAATTTTAAATGTCTTCAGGATGAAGACATGTCGTCAAATCTTATATACCTGTACACAAAAAAAAATAACAATTTTGCTTTTATCATAGTCCTTCTGCCCATGATTTGGACGCAGTCATGTTAAAAAAAAAACATAAATTCATTATTCAGGATATATTTATTTGATCTTTACCTATTCCATTTTTTCCAGATCGCTTAAGAGCTCATACTATATGATCTAATAGATGAACCAGGACTTCCACGATGTCTTCAGTAACGATATATGTACTCGAATTTGCATTGAGTCTAGCACTCAATTCCGGAGTGATTTCACGAGAAATCGGCGATTGACCTGTTTTTTTACAAATACAATTACGCCCAAATCTCAAATCACTCCGGACTTCATAATTCTTTTTTGGAGCTCCGATCAAATGGTCTACTTCAACCACGACTACTTAAGATAATGTCTTTAATAACGAAACACGTCCAAAAAGATGCATGTAGCCTATAAATATCATCGCCCTGTAGTTCAGAACATAAGAATCACTTGTTCAACTATGACTGAGACAATGTCCTTAGCAGCCAAATATGTTTAAGCATAGATCTGCAGTATATGCACACCGTTTACGATCGATTTCCATGGATTCATAATGTTCTGAGATCTCCAAATCGTCTTGAAGTTCTGGTCAAATGATCGACCAATGTCCACGATTGGGACATTGTCCGTAGCAACAAAGCAAGTCCAAACCCGAGTGAAGGGCAATAGCAAAACCAGAGCAAAGTTTTATCAAATTATACTATCAATATCTTATTATGTTATTGGTAAGTTGTGCGCTGAAATAAGTTAATAGCTTAGTCTACTATCAAATATATCATATTAACAATATGATCCATTCATGCCTTTTCCAAATGTTGCAATGGCGACCTGCAAAATATTGCTTCACGCACCATCTAGCGTTGAAAAAGGTCAGCAAAAATCATTCAATTACAATCGAGGGGTGCGAATATAGCACTTATTACAAAAGTAAGAGTCAAATTATTTTCATTAATTACATTGTGTATATTGCTTTAAAATTTATCTGACATGTCACTGTTGTCATCAAATAAAATAAAATGCTGAAATACATTCATGTGAAATATTAAACAAATTTTCTTTTGGTTTACTCCTCGTGACGATAAACAAATACATTGGTAGCCTTTTTGGCCACAGAGGTGTTTTCATCGCTAAAAATTCGGTTCGCCAGCTAAGCGAAAGAGTGGATCATATTGTTAATATAATATATTTGCTACTATTTAAGAATTATCTGCTATTTATAGGGTATTTTGGTATCATGAATTCATGGGCTTATTTTGATCTGATAGCCGAATAAGCTTTTAATATAGCATTACATTTATTAATTTAAAGAACATACCAATAGCTTGATGGGATATACTAGCAAAATTCGGTATTAACTTGCAATCATTTTAGCTATTCTTTAAATTTGACATAAACTGACTTTGCCATGACTCAGTTATAATCCGATATATTTTTTGATATTATTTTAGATATTTTACCTCTTATGTCAATCGTACTTAAAGCAATTTGTGATGATCTGTTCGACAATTTAAATAGTAAAATTTGATTTGATATTCTCGTCGACTCGGGAACAATAACATGGAGTCGTTGCGTATTTCTCATGCTCAATTTCTATGAATATCGGATGTTTGAAGTTCTGCAAATCGACTTGGAGTCGACTTACTAGATTTTTCACAACTGGGAAAATATCACCTGCAATCGAATCATACCCAAGCATATTCATGAAGCGAACTCCACGAAGTTCTGGAGAAGCTAAAACTTCTCCCATACAAAGGAATTGAATCGATATTGATGTAAATAAACTTCATGAATCACGTTTCGTTGCTGTGCGCTTCGTGCAAGCCTTGGTTGATACTATTGATTAACTTATCTGAACTAATAAATGATGTAAAACATTTAAAATATTTCCTGATAGAATCTTGAATGATCTAGATTTTAAGGACATGTTTGTACATATTTAGGTGATTTAACCTTATTGTCTATATTGTCAAGAATTAGTACTCCATGGATGACTAGAACATTGTTATGATTGCTTACTGGTTTTAATTTTTTATTAAATAATGTAAACACTGAAACGCTCTTATCCGTATAAAGTACGTGTTAATAATAAATTGGTACCAAATGGATTAAACCAAAACGAACTCCTTTTCAAATAATAAATTTA